TTGAGAGGTATTTTGGTAATTGAGGGTGTTTAATTGAGAGCTAACCGTAGTTTCCATATCTCATAAAAACCTAACAGAGGAACCAATTAGTAAGACCACTTGACATTTGAGGGATGTACGAGTAATTTCCAAATTTTAGCCACTGGTACGTAATTTTTGAAGATTTGAGGAACAAATCTTTTTTTTTTTTTTTTGTTGAAAGAGGGAGGCAAAAACCTTTAACAAAAGAACTAAAAAACATTCTTAAAACGGACAAGCCTTGGTCACTTCTTGCCATCACCGTCCTAGACCGGAAGTTGCATAAGATCGTCCGGGAGGGGTTAGCAACACCTCGACAACCATAATCCAGTCGATACCCTGTTTGGCGAGGAATTTCGCTGCTTGGTTCGCTTCTTGATAAATATGACACACCCGAACTAGGCAAGGTTTTCGAAGAAGATCTCGAACTCAGGAAATGATGTTGAAGTGAGGATGCGACACGGTCTTCTCGCTGATCGATGAGGATTAGAGATCAATAAAGAGAGCGAGGATGTGCAAATTGTAGAATATTAATTATCTTAATCATCATGGTACTTAAGTTTGTTGTTGACATTTGTTATGAGGACCGCGAGTTTATTTTTTATTTTTTATTTTTTGGGGGAGGGGAGGGGGGGAACAAAAAACTAAAAGTGCGATGATCAAATTTTGGATTCTCTATACTCCGTTTAATTTACATTTTAAAAAAACTTGTTTAATTTTACTTACCACAAATGATTCGAACAGTTGGGAGGTTCAGATGTGACTCCCATAGTCTTGAATTTGATTTTAACTGGGTTATTAAAGTAGTTGTAATAATAATAATAATAATATTTTTAACTTTTGTTAAGAAAACTAAAACGTTTTACTAATTAAATGTTTTCAAAAGGTCAAAATTTTTAAATCAACCATTTTGAGAATTTAATCAGCAAAAACGATCTAATTAGAAAAAAATTAGCAAAATCGACCACTTGTCGTGAGAGAACGGTCGATTTTGCTAGAATACAATTTCTGCGATACACGAGACTACTAGTCCCGTGTAATTTAAAACCTTAATTAAGCGGTTAGATTATACAGGACTAATAATCCCGTCCATTTTTCATTTCCTTGGCCAGACTAATGATGGATTAACATGTCCTAGTTACACGAGACTAACAGTCCCGTGTAATTAGAAAAACCCTTCAGCAAAATCGATCGTTTTTAGCCCTCGTGTGGGTAGAAAACGGTGGATTTTGCTTTTTTTTAAGGGAATTCTCAAAACGGTTGATTTCAAAAAATTCTCCTTTCTCAAAAAGCTAAAAAAGAAAAAAAAAAAAGTTCCACAAACCCATGATGCGCGCGTCGTCATTTTCCGACGGCTTTCTCCCAACATTCGATGACTTCTTCCCTCCCCCCTCTCTTCAAACCAAAATCACCCCAAAACCAAATCCAGCACCTAACCTCCCT